ATTATTATTATTTAATTATTATATGCCTGTATATGTATTTAGACAGATTCTAAACTTAATTTTAAATAAAATTTGCAACATGAAAAAATAATTGTTAGTTGTTCAAAATTTATCAACAATCAATGAGCTTGGAGGCTTTCCATAGGCCTATTTAAAAAAAAAAGTTGTTGCTTTTATTATGGTGATAGCACACTGTTCAGATTTATGATATGCTTGTGAGAGAAACATAACATCTTTTCTTCTTTTTTCAGACAGCAAAGAATGTTTTAGATGCAAAGATGACTACTATCCCAACACAAGACAGAATTTCTGTGTTCCCAAAATTGTGACTTTCTTGTCTTACGAAGAACCTTTAGGGTTCAGTTTAGCCTGTCTCGCACATTCTTTTTCTCTAATCACAGTTCTCGTGCTAGGAGTATTTGTGAGGTACCACAACACTCCCATTGTCATAGCCAACAACCGGGATCTGACTTACATTCTCCTCATCACCCTCCTGCTCTGCTTCCTTTCGGCACTGCTATTCATTGGCCAACCAGGAAAAGTGACCTGTCTTTTGCAACAAACAACTTTTGGCATGGTCTTCTCAGTGGCTGTTTCTTCTATCTTCGCAAAAACCATCACAGTGGTTCTAGCATTTATGGCTACTAAGCCAGGTTCCAGAATGAGGAAGTGGGTGGGGAAGAAGTTAACCAATTCCATAGTTGTTTCCTGCTCCCTGATCCAAACAAGCATCTGTACTTTGTGGCTGTCAATGGACCCCCCATTTCCAGACATTGATATGACCTCAGGGACTGAAGAAATTGTACTGCAATGTAACGAAGGGTCTGTGGCCATGTTTTATTGTGTTCTTGGCTATATGGGTCTCCTGGCTCTTATCAGCTTCACCACAGCTTTTCTTGCAAGGAAGTTACCTGATAGTTTTAATGAAGCCAAGTTCATCACTTTCAGCATGCTGGTCTTTTGCAGTGTTTGGTTGTCTTTTGTCCCAGCATATCTGAGCTCCAAGGGGAAATACATGGTGGCTGTGGAAATCTTCTCTATCTTAGCCTCTGGTGCTGGGCTTCTGGGCTGCATTTTTTTCCCAAAATGTTATGTCATTGTCTTCCGGCCAGAGCTGAATAACAGGGAACAACTAATCAGAAGGAAGGAATGATGAAAATTACTTTCTACATCCTTTATCAATCTTCTGAGTGTAGAATTCTGTTTCTATATGCATAGTAGAATATTTTTGAAAACAGTACTTTTAGCTACTTGTCTGTATACATTTTGCCAACTCTCTATTCCTTCATTGCAACTTTTATTTCCATGTCTATGTTGTTATAGTTAACCCGTGGGCCAGCTCCCTAAAGTGACCTAGAAATGGACCAGAGAGATATATTAACATCAGAGAGGAAAGTCTGACAAGTGCTCTAATCTAAATTGGAACACATTATCTGGTCCCTGTTGGTTTATCCTTAGCTGTTAACATGGTCAGATAGTTCCTCCCTTTTCTGATGTATTGTTTTTAAACCCTTAATTAAAATTTTAGTAAAGTTAGTAAAAAACAAAGCATTCGTCTCAAATGTAATCTGTATTTCTAACCCTGTCTAAAAGTGAAAGAAAGACAAAAGAGGCAGTCACTCCTGGTTGCTATTTGGATGTAGATCACTTGGGAACATCAGCAATGAAAAGTACACTGCAAAGTCCAAAAGG